TACTGGTCAGCATGACAGGCAATGGTCTCAGCACAACAGCAGCCTGACTCTTGTTGAGTTGTCTGTAGTCCTTGTAACGAAGGAGACATTTCAGGAGGGATTTGAGGGAGAACAATGCAATAGTTTTGCAGATGTTTTCTGGGAGCTTCTCCCAAGTATCAGGTGCAGCATGGGAGAAAACATGAAGATGCTTGTTTGCAAATTAAACAAGGGGGTGATGGAGGGTGGCAGCCTGGACGGATGGGAGATGGGAACTGATGTCCCAGTAGTGACTGAGAGATCATAGATAGTGTGGTGATAGGCCATGAAGGGCCTTGAGAGTGAAGACAAGTAGCCTTGGTTTGATGAGAGAGAGAGAGAAGGGGGAACTAAGGGAGGGACACAAAAAGAGGGGTGATGTGGTCAAAGGGACAGGCTAGGATAGTGATTTTTGCAGCAGCATTTCAAAGGGATATGAATGGGACAAAATTGCAGTTATCAACTCAGTGAAAAAGATGTTGCAGTAATTGAAAAAGAAATGTTGGGCTGGAAGGGCCCGCAATAGGTCATCTAGTCAGGGCCGGCACAACCCATTAGGCGACCTAGGCTGTCGCCTAGGGCATTAACATTTGGGGGGCGGCGACCGCGGTGGCTGGATCTTCGGCCATCCCGGTTGTCGTCGGTATTTCGGGGGCGGGACCTTCCGCCGCCTCTGTCGGGGGCGGGACCTTCCGCCACCTAGGGCGGCAAAACAGCTGGCGGCGCTCCTGCATCTAGTCCAACCTCCCACACATTCCCCCTGTGCTGAGGCCAGACCAAGCGTACCTAGACCATCCCTGACAGATGTTTCTCTAACCTGTTCTTAAAAACCTCCAGTGATGGGGATTCCACAGCCTCCCTTGGTGACGTATACCACTACTTAACTATCTTCATAGTTAGAAAGTTCTGCCTAATACCTAACCTAAATCTCCCTTGCTGCAGATTAAGCCAGTTACTTCTCATCCTACCTCCAGTGGAGCTGGAGAACAATGGATCACTGTTCTCTTTATAACAGCCTTTAATATATTTTAAGACTGTGATCAGGTCCCTCCACCATGAGTCTTCTTATCTCAAAATTAAACATACTCAGTTTTTTTAACCTTCGTTATAGGCCAGGTTTTCTAAACCTTTTAGATGACAAGAACCTGGATGAGAGTTTTGGCCGTGTGGGTGGATACGAAAGGCCCTCTCTTAGAGATGTTATGCAGAAAGAATCTGCCAGATTTAGACACAGGAAATACTTTCCTCATGGATTGTATTTTCTAAATGGACAACCTACCCTAATTCTCAATTACTGAAGGACAATCTCCACTCATTCATATATTTTGCGTTCCGCAACCAAATCTCTGTACTACTCTTCATGAGTGATGTACCTGAATACCTGGATGCTAATATCTAAACCGTATTCTTAAATGTATTCATCTACATTTGGGTCATTGCTGATTATGTACTATATGTATCAGATGACTTAAAAACAAACTTTGTATTTGTGGTGTGGCAAAGTTCCTCCTCTACCTTGGTGGGTCCTGCGCTTATTGGCGGATTTTCTCACCTCAGTGATCTTCCCCTCTGGTGGAACCCACAGTCTGGGCCAACTCCTCCTGTGTCTGATCAGGAGTTGGGAGGTTTGGGGGGAACCCGGG